ACGTCGTTGCCAAGCGACGAAAACCCAACCCCGATGGCAAACACCGGGGGGGGCGCGGGGGGGGATTAGAGAATTCGACTGTAGTTCCTTGTTGTGGGACGGAAGCATGGTTGAAATGTATGCTTCGGTAAGCTCATTTCAGGGTCGGGCGTCATTGGTATATATGAGCAGGAGGGGTCTCTACAACTCCAGGAATTATTGGTCAGGCAAGATGGAAGGGACAGTCAAAAGCGAGTGTGTCAATGGGTGCAGGACTCAATAGGGGGTAGTGTTGTGCCACGGTAAAACCGTTGGAAAGAATATGTCGAGCATCTCGCGAGCTTTCAAGTGTGCCAAAATGGCGAATACTTGGCAACACAAGGACAGAGTCTCGGTCAGACATCGAGGGTTCTTAAGCACAAGTACGAAGCTCTCCTGAGAGATCACATGCAAGGGTCCAACACACATGACGAGCTCGTGGTTTTAGAGGGCGCCACAATGCAGGCATGCCGAAAGGGTCGAACCGTCTGATTTCATGGCAGGACGTCGACACCACGAATATTTTCCCGCACAACAAGTGGTGCAGCTTTAGGTGGAGAACAAATGCCGAAAAAACAAGGGTGTCTTTCTGTGCGCGACCGGTTTTTTCTTACATGGGCCAAGCATTGAAAACGACACTGGGAGTAGTAGCGACCCTTACGCGCCACTCTTCCATCGAAAACATAGAAGGTCCCCCTTGCTCCCATTATTTCCGGAACGAGTCTGACCTGCTCGTGTGTCTAGAGTTGACTTCCCTACCAGGCCGTTTGTCCTTCTGGATTGATATTTGGAAATTATATTCATAAACGGTCGGGTGTTCTCAAAGCGCGTGTCTGCTTCATCTTGTACGTACGTCGTTGTTGATTGAGTTGTGACCATGGATGGACGTATTTCTTTGTGTTGAGGTTTCAACGCACCAAGAACGAAAGGGAGTAGCGCAACGCTCCCCCTTGGAAGGCGTGTTGAGAACAAAATACATTATGCTAGCACCACCGACAATACAGAGTTGTAGCAGTCGAGTGTCCATGGATCGTGTCACTTTACAGTCTCTCGCGACTGACTTCCGTGCACCCCCTCTGGGGATTGTCTGGAGCGCCCTTTGTGGCGACATTTACGTGGAGTTCAGGCAAGACGAACTTCAGAAGTTTGCCTGGAATACGCTACACTGTATGTACGAAGTCGGCGCGTGCCATGGGGAAATTCCCACCGACCATGAAGACTTGAAGGGCAGAGACTATGCCATTAGAGTACCATAGAAAACAGTTGGGAGATTTCCATCGACCAGGTTCAGACCATACGGCATACATACCTCGAGAATGCAAAAGAAAACAGTTCACCAACAAAGGTGGGCGTTCTACCGAAACACGGTAGCACCCCCGACGTGCGAACAGGCGCAACCCACGGACGGTGCGCTAGTAGAGCAGAGGACACTATTATTCGTACAGCATTAGTTGCCACCACAGAAGTCATTCGAGCGAGAAGTAGGTGCATGCATGACGGTCGGTGGAATGTATGACTGACTACATGCAAGAAGCAACGAGGAGGTCGAATTCGGGGGTGTACGTAGTCTCCTGTAGTTGTAGCGTCCCATGTCGTTTATTCTACGCTACCTTGCGGACGTCGAGCTCGAACCATCCGGCAGCGGAAGAAAAGCGCGGGAGCACATGTCGTGTTGGTTGCGGTGCAGTCTACGTCGACTTGGCGGTTGAGCGCTTTATTGGCTTTTCGTGATACATACAACGGGGTCGTACGAGCGTTTGAACCTCACTACTACACTGCCTGTAGGCTCGAAACATGCGCAAATCCGAGGTTGCCTGGCGGAAATGCGAACAGTGGTGCTCCACGGTCTATTACTCTGCACACCGCATGTTGCCCACTCAGTATCAAAACGTACTCACCACAATTAAGGTGGAAGTCGCGTGCGATTCAGTGGAAGAACGGAAGAAAGCAGAAGGAGGAGAAGGAGAAAGTGTGTCACAAGTGAGTTTGTCTAGATGGGGAGCCGCGTATATTCGCGTGGTTCCTTCCAAACTTCTTGCGAACAAAACCTCCCCGACTGCATTCTACGAAATCTACGATGTGAACCGTGACATGCGGAGGAACCATGCGTCGCACAACTCTCCGTTTCTCGTTCCGTTGTGGTAGAGCTTAGAGCTTGAAGCTTGGCAGCTTGGCTGTTCTTTCCCTATTTCGATCAAGAGGGTGATATGTGCACCAGCTCTGGATCTACACTACAGTCCGTCCAGTCGACGGCACGCGATGCTTTACTTCAAGGTCAACCCGAGCGGTTGGGCAGGATGCAGTTTCGCGTGCCCTTGTAACGTCATTTGACAGCAACGTACGACTGCTGGTGTCGTGTTGGTTCAGCAGTTCAGCCGACACGACTGGACCCAATCAATTCTAAACTCTGACTTGATTCGACCGGAGACAAGACTCGTTTTCAACACTAACGACTCGTCGCATCATGTGTGTGGTGCTCTTTCAAATCACTATGCGGGAACTTTGAACCCGTCTAGATCTACCGTCCTTACTGCTGCTTTTTCAACGAATGGTGGTCTTGGCAAAGGCACCAATCGACTCAT